ATTAACTTTCCATTCCTTACTTAACTTTTAACTTCCTTTACTTAAAAAAAATAACGGCGGAGCCAACCCTTTTCTACCGTTTTGGGTCTGTCCTCCCCGTCGGCCCTCTAAGGCCCAAGACTACAACGGACTTACATACGCGATCGTTCGTAGTCCAACACGCAAAGTTCTGTAACGGGCTTACGTACGCGATCGTTCCCAGAACTATCATCTACTCTACAATCTCAAACAATACTTTTTACTCTTAACATCTTTTAATTACCAAGCAATTTCCACACATCAAACAATCTTTATACTAACAATCAGCAAGCATCAAGCATTCCTAAAATTAGCATAGATAACCACAACAAACATTCTATTCCTAGACTAGCATGTAAGAACACATAATGCTAACTAATACTAAAGTAGCGTGGATCCCACCCTCAGCTTAGCCTTTCGGATGATCAAAAAAATGAAGAAGTGAACCTAGAAGGACGTGACTCTGCGTTCTGGGCGGTTGACGTCTGGAAAATAACGATTCAAGTCAAAAATTGCGTTTTTGGATTTTGACAGAATAAGTGTTTCTTGACCAGAAAGAAACGTCAATAGCTCACCGGATTTAGATCGGACTGGGAAACCAAAACTTGATCTGAAATCCTTGTAACGTCAGGTTTACAATGATACCAAAATCGTAATCTAACTCGTTCTGTATCGGCGTACACCTTCCTCCAAAGTTAGCTCTGTGAAACCCGATAACAGATTCTGGTTGGACATCTAGGGCAAACTTAAATCATAGATAGCAGATTCATCTTACCTGAGAATCCAAATCGGAAAAGAGCTCCAGAATCTACGAAGAATCCTCTTTCCAACGGTATATAGATCGTCGCCTAACTCCTCACGGATCGCCGGAAAATCGCCCCGAAATTTCACTGGTCGAATCTAAGACCAAAAATTCAGATTCAGATAACTGAGATTTTTCCCGATAATTGCGAGCAGACCGTACCTCGTAATTGGAATCGGAAAGAAGCTGTAGAAACTAGAATCCGTGATCTTTCCAGAGATAAAAGAATCACGATCTAATTCCTTCTGAGCCACCGGCAATCAGTCCCCAAAAACAGCTACTCGGAACTAGCTTAACTGAGAAGGCAAGTGGGAGAACAATAGGGTTTTTCTCTAGCTGCGCAACTCTGATCTCCCTCTCACTCGCGTGGCTTAATATAGAGGTAAAGGGGACTCTAGGTTAGGGTTTTACTTAGCACTTGGGCCACACATAACGGGATTTTTAGGTTTTGGGGAATTTTATGGGATTGGGCCATGACAGTTTTCTACAAGGCTAAAGAATACGCATTAAAGAGTCCGAGGTTTCTTGGCTGTGATGAGAATGCCTTAGGAATCCGTGACTAGCT